GAAGTAACCATGATAGCTGCTTTTCTCTCTCAAGTATAACCAAGAGAAGGAACCACGATAGCTCCTCGTCTCTCCCAATTATGACCAAGAGAAGTAATCATGATAGCTGCTCTTCTCTCTCAATAATAACCCTGAGAGGTAACCATGATAGCTGCTGGTCTCTCCCAATTATAACCAAGAGAAGTACCCATGATAGCTCCTCGTCTCTCCCAATTGTAACTAATAGAATTACCCATGATAGCTCCTCGTCTCTCTCAATTGTAACCAAGAAAAAATATTCATGATACCTCCTCGTCTCTCTTAATTATAGTCAAGAGAAGTACCCATGATAGCTCCTCGTCTCTCCCAATTGTAACCAAGAGAAGTACCCATGATAGCTCCTCGTCTCTCTCAATTGTAACCAAGAAAAAGTATTCATGATACCTCCTCGTCTCTCTCAATTATAGCCAAGAGAGGTACCCATGATAGCTCCTCGTCTCTCTCAATTGTAACCAAGAGAAGTAACCATGATAGCTCCTCGTCTCTCTCAATTGTAACCACGAGAGGTACCCATGATAGCTTCTCGTCTCTCTCAATTATAACCAAGAGAAGTACCCATGATAGCTGCTCGTCTCTCTCAATAATAACCCTGAGATGTAACCATGATAGCTGCTTGTCTCTCTCAATTGTAACCAAGAGATGTAACCATGATAGCTCCTCGCCTCTTTTAATTGTAACCAAGAAAAAGTATTCATGATACCTCCTCGTCTCTCTCAATTATAGCCAAGAGAGGTAACCATGATAGCTCCTCGTCTCTCCCAATTGTAACCAAGAGAAGTACCCATGATAGCCCCTCGTCTCTCCCAATTGTAACCAAGAGATGTAACCATGATAGCTCCTCGCCTCTTTTAATTGTAACCAAGAAAAAGTATTCATGATACCTCCTCGTCTCTCTCAATTATAGCCAAGAGAGGTACCCATGATAGCTCCTCGTCTCTCCCAATTGTAACCAAGAGAAGTACCCATGATAGCTCCTCGTCACTCTCAATTGTAACCAAGATAAATACCAATAATAGCTCATCGTCTCTCCCAATTATAACCAAGAGAAGTACTCATGCTAGCTCCACGTCTCTCTCAATTGGAACCAAGACACGTGCTCATGATAGCTCCTCGTCTCTCGAAATTGTAACCAAGAGAACCACCCATGATAGCCCCTCGTCTCTCCCTATTGTAACCAAGAGAAGTACCCATGATAGCCCCTCGTCTCTCCCAATTGTAACCAAGAGATTCCCATGACAGTTCCTCGTCACTCTCAATTGTAACCAAGATAAATACCAATAATAGCTCATCGTCTCTCCCAATTGTAACCAAGAGAAGTAACCATGATAGCTCTTCTTCTCTCCCATTTATAACCAAAAAAAATAACCACAATATGATGCTGTGACATCATACCTTTAGTAAATGACACAGAGGAGCAACAAGTCAAAACATCGTATGAAATCTTAATCTTAAAAGTCTTGCATTTATTCAAAGTCACAAACTTTTTTCAGTGAAAAAACAAAGACATAAAATTAAAAACGTTCTATTCTTAAATATTTACATTCGCCGTGCAGACTAACTTCAGAATGACTTAATCTGATAAATATTCCCTTTCCCCTTGGACACAAATCTATAGGTTTTCGTCATTCTAGGCGATTTTGCAGTTCTAGTAGTTCTGAAGACTATTTACATATATTCAAGCCACAAATTAAATCCCCCCCCCCCCCTACACAAAATTGCGAACTAAGGCTCATCAGTTTCATCACTGCTACGTGCAGACTTAGGGTTAGATATATTCAGATCACAGTCAGTAGATAACCAGTAACTTAGACAATTAAACTCTTTATCGTGCATCAAAACATCTCGGTCATTGAATGTCCTTGTTCTACTTTTCATTAAGATAAACATACATATAAGATCTCACAGGGGTAAAAACAATAATGCGCGAAGCCCTTAAGCATGTACATTAAGAACACGAAGAAAGATAAGATAAGTATATAGGCGAAGGAATTGTGGGGGTGGGGGTTGAGCGGGGTGGTTGTTATTATAATAATAGGCTAATCATTCATAATCAATAATAAAAGTAAAATAACATACATAAGACCTCAAGACCTCATAGAGGTAATAATAACAATGCTGCCCGTGATTATAATAATAATAATCATTTTAAAAAAACTTCCAATAAAATATCAATAAGACAGTCAATAGCTTCGTTCCAGAGTATATAATTTCATGATCTATAATATTAATTTCCGATTCATTCGGCAACTTTTGGTAGCTTCCATAAAGCTGAATCTGAGCGCTAGCATCACATTGTCTACTGTGAAAGTTCTGACAGATTCAGATTTACGGAAATTGCCGATAATTGCCGGTGCACAGTGCACTTCCTATTGGTTGTTTGGGAATTGTTACAAACCACTGTTGGCAAGACAATAACCAATTTGACAGTTTATCAGAATAAATAACCCATAAAACTTTACACTTCGATACGATTAATGGCCATTGCTTTAATATTGTTGATATAAATCCAAGGTCGAATGATCAATAAGCGTAAACTAGATAATATTCAATACATGTAAACAAGATTAAGAGAGTTTGAATTATGTGATTTCTAGGCTAAAGTATCGTGGATTTATTATGTTAGTCAATATTCGCTAAAAGAGTTACCAAAAAAATATTCTCAAATCTTCCAATAAATTGAAATTCCAGTTTAGTCGTGGCAGAAGTAAAGTGTCTTATATTATAAATGTAATATACAATGTCTAAAATCGTTACAGATATCCCAGACCACCACACAATACTCTCCAAGACACAACAAGCCTACCATTTCAGTTTTCCTGGAACATACTTATCGATTAACGATTGGTAATAAGGCTTGATTTCTTCGATGTCTGGAAATTCGGGACTTTTAGTATACAAATCAAATTTGTTAAACTCGTTTACCCAGGCTTTCATTTCTTCGTCTTTATTATTACATAGGTAATCATAATCACCACCTGAAAAAAATATAAGAGGTGCTTATAGGTTGAGGTGTAGTGGCGTCTCTATAAATCATCAGGTGATGGTTGGCACAGAATTGGCTTTGGCTCACTAGCAGTGGCGGAGCCAGGTTTACGTCCGAGGGGGGCGAGATAACTGAGATTGCCCGAATCTCTAATCTAGTTGTGAGATTTTTTGCCCGAAAAACTTTGCCCCCTCTTCCCCCCATTGGCTCCGCCACTGGTCACTAACATTACTTTACCCCTGTAAATGATAGGAAATTTGACACCTGGGTGACCCGGGGTGACGGAGGGGGTAGTCTAGCTACTTTTAGTTTTCAAGAAAACGATTTTAAGTATCAAGGTATAACTAACAATGTATAAAAATCCTAATAAATATAAAGATCACCGTTCATAATAATCACTTGAATGTTATCACTCTTTACTTTGAGCTTATCACGACCTAATAGTCCTACTGTCGTATCGTCGGGAGTATAGCTACTTTCAGTTTTCGGGGCATAACACCAATTCCCCCCCCCCCCCCCTCCCATCTCTCCACCATCGTAGGCTGTGCTGGGCTACAATTCAACTATTTTCCGATTTCTAAATGCAAGGTAATATAAAATATACAAATTCTCCTAGTAGCCTTGATACACTATATAATCATTTATTAATTAATTGGTATATTTTGTAAACAAACATAAAAGTTTACATAACATTACCAATCAAACATAATTATACTGTTATGTAATTATTAGACATGTAGTAGGCTATATATATAATGGCAAATTGCTGTTCCTAACATGGCATGACCAGTACTACCAAATGGAGTTTAGCGTCCTCTGCTCGGAATCTCATTGTGTTCAGATAGGAGCATAATAGGTATAGTCGTCTGAATGGTATGCTCTGTTTATTTCAAATAGACAGTACAGTGGCGGAGCCAAAAGGCGGGCAGATGAGGTAGCCCCCAGTCCCCTCCCCCCTCCCTCGCCGCCCCGAAAGCATTTATTTCGGGGGAAAATCTTATAATTATGTTATGGGCAATCTCAGATATTTCGCCCCGTCGGACGTAAACAGTGCCATATAGTGATATCGGATTCTTCTTAGATTGTTTATAATGCCCTAGATATCAGAACCTTATTTCATTGTAGTCGAACCATGCATCAGATTTTCATTCTGAAATGCGTTATGTTTAAGTAAAGATTCTGGAACAACTGTCAAAAAACATACATGCATACCAAAGCAATGGATTGTCTTGCATGGGGTTCAGTCAATTGCTACCAATCGAGCAAAATTTATACGAGATATCAGTCTTAACTTGACAAGCTTAATCACAGAGCGTGACGAATCCTAGGTAGGCCTATATATCTCTATAATCTTTTATCATATTCACTACCGTTTGGACTTTGAACCTCGGGAAGGGTTCATTGTTACTTAACATCAGCAACATCTGCGACCAAAGTTTCACAAATAATCTTATGACCAAAAGTGTTAAATCTGCTTGCAAATTTCACATTTGTATTTTAATGTATTAAATTTTGACTGTTTATCGTAAAACTGGGGTCTACTATTTAAGGGATTGTAAAGCGGTTTTATGTGAATCGAGGACACTGGTAGCACCAATTTGCAATATTCCATTTTTCAATCAGACGTCTATGGTTTCTGCAATTCCACTGAAACTAAGTGTTTGATGACGTCTCTAATTACAAAATGTGCTTTATCATTGAGGGCCCTTCGACCTATTCCTGGTTTGACAATTAGTCCCACCGCAGCTTTTTCAAGGCTCGAGATCTTACCTGTATGCCAAGGGTAGAAGGAATGGTATCGTATCATGTACAGACCCTCTTCTGGAATGGAACAGTTGTTGGCCTTGAGGACTCTGTAGAGATATTCATCGTGACCCCATGACATCGACACATTGTCCAATCCACAGTTCTCTTCATAAATACCTAGCTCACTACCTAATCTCTTGTCAGTTACATCCGGGTTGTCTTTGAAGCTGTCCATTCCAAACACAATACTCGGAGCTGGATGACATCCGATTGGAAAAGTATCACCAACAACTGCCCATTGAGGCTCGTTCCA